CTCCCAGCTGGCAGGACCACCCAATGGACTTCCCACACAGCCCACTGAGCAAGCCACCTGAAGGCACCTCACGACAGGATGAGGGCAAACATTTTAAAAAGGACAAGATACGGAATCTAAAACAGAGAGACCAACTGGGGAGAACGATGGGAAAGTCAGACCCCCCCAGAGTCCAGAAACATCAAGACTGAGGCTCCACGTGGGAGGAAGATGGATCATGAGTTTCAAACACCCAAGGAATCATCGGCTGATGATGCAAGACAAAGAAGGACAGTTAGCAACTCGAGACAGAGCTCCTCAAGTGAAAGCGAGCAGCAGCCAGCAATCCAGGCTCTCGCCATCTTCAGACCGCAGAGCGCTAACTGCGGAACACACCTGAGCAAAACTGGGAAGACACAAACACAGCCACAGAACCCAAGCACAAGGGTAGTTACTGCCACAGGAGCACCCAAGTGCCGGGCACAGCACAGTGACCACACGGGCAGGCCTGGCTGCTCCCTCTCCTTGGCAGGTGAGGAAACAGAGACCCTGAGACTGACTTGCCCTGGGCACAGGGCCAGCAAGTGCAGCACTGCCCTCACCATCACAGCAGGCTGTCTCCAGAGCAGAGATCTAGCAACCCCACGACAGGAGTGAAGTCGGAAAATAACCCTCAGCTTACGCTGCTCTCCAGAGGTCAGGCCAGGAGTAAAAACGCATTTGCATATATGAGGAAATCGCAATTCTTGGCTTTCTATGACGTGAAGCGTGGCAAGGATTGCCTGAGACTGTAGCCCTGATTAACCCTCCTTTCTCTATGCTCCCTGGAGGGGAAAGTACTGGGGATTGACCCCAGGGGTACTCTACTTCTGAGCCAAATCCCCAGCCCTTATTTTTAATTTTGGGACAGGGTTTTATTGAATTGCCCAGGCTGACCTCAACCTGGCCATCTTCCTGCCTCTGCCTCCTGGGTAGGTGGGATCACAGGTGTGTGCCACTGAGCCTGGTGCACTGTTCTTAAAAATTGTACTATATCTTGTTGCTAAAAATTAGAATCTTTAAAGGGAAGAATGGGGCTATTAATCTCCTCTTACATCAGAAATCAGAACAGAGCAGAAAGGCTTAAATACATTGTAGAAATTAAAAAGGAAACCAGAGATAAACTTGAAACAGTGAGGAAACCACAGAGGGCAGGGGTAGGGGTGGGTGAGTGGGATACACCCTCATCTATTATAGCAGAAAAGCAGTTTTAGACACACAATCCCTAGAATTGAAAAATCAAGAAATGGTAGTAAAAGTTTAGTATTTCATCATCTCGGTAAAAATCACAAACAGAAATGAAAATAGAAGTAGCTAAAACATTAAAAGTGGATCTCCCTTTGTAACAGGAGGAGGAGTAGGGAGAACTGGATCCAGAGATTTTTTGCTGTGTATTCTTCTGAAAATTTAACAATTTACTACTACAATTAAAAAAACAAATATCTGACATACAGTAGGTGGTTTTTTCTTTAGAGCTGCATTGAACCAGGAGAACACCGAGCCATCCAGCCTGCCCCTTTCCCAGGTGAGAGGCTAATGGGCTGTCTTTTCCACAGGTGGCCACAGGATTGTGTCCTGTCCTCATGCTTCCTGACAAAGTGACACTGTTGCTCCTCCATGGAAAGGCGGAGGCCCAGGGCTGGGGATATAGCTCAGTTGGTGGAGTGGTAGCCTTGTGTGCACAAGGCCTCGGGTTCAATCCCCAACACCACAGGTGCAGGCCCACATCCTCTCCACCTACGGCATTGGAGATCCAGGATGTGAGGCATGGCTCTGCCTGAAGCAGCGCAGTGGAGAGCCCATGCAGAAGGCCCAGGCAGGGAGGGAGTGAGGGAGTCTGGGGTGGGGAGGAATGCCCAAAGGATATTTCCAGCTCAGGTGTCAGATTTTGTGATCACTCAGATTCTGATGTCCAGTACAGTGAACAGCCGTCAGTCACACATAGGTATTTTAATTAAATTGAGTAAAATTTAAAACTTGGTGTTCCAATCACACTAGTGACACTTCACTTGCCACATGCACCTAGCTCCCACCAACTCGACAGGGCAGGCCTGATGGGTAGTGCTGCCTCAACTCCAGTGAAGGACCTGACAAGAGGCCAGCTCTCCCCCGGCCCTGCTCAGAAAAAAATGCCTCCGCAAAATAAATGCTGAGCTCAGCCACTGGTTCTTGGGGTGATCTATCACACAGCCATAGTGAAAGGAACACAAGGGAACTGGGGGTCCAATCGTGAGGACATCTGCCAGAGCTCTGGAGTCCACGACAGCAGCCAGAGGTGCAGTGAAAGCATGTCCCAGGTCAGTGCTCAGAATGTGACTGAACAGAGGAAGAGCACTGAACAGAAGTCCCCGCCCACACAATCTGCAACCCCAAGCACCCGCCACACACCAGAAGGCCTGGGTCTGCTACTCCAGAAAAAGAGTCACCACTTCCTGCCTGAAGAGCAGCCGCAGCCTCAGAATGTCAGCCCCATGCATCAGACAAAACTCCAATCCTAGCTTCTTTCACAAGGTGGAGTCTTATTTACTAGTCCAGTTTTTATACTTGCATAAAATTCTTTACTTTTTGAAGTATTTTGTAAATCTTAAAACTTTCAAGCTAAAAAAGTTTTTTTAAACAAACAAACAAAAACCTTAGAGAGTACTTATCAACATTAACCCAAAGCTTTCTCTTTTAAACTTTCCTTACTTACAAAGAAAAGTATTTTAAAGTATCATTTTTAATTCCTGGAACTAATGGAAACTTGGAGTGTCAAAAACGAAAACAACCTGAGGTTCAAGTGAATCTCCCCTAACCCCCAGACACAGCAATGGTTCCAAGACCTTATTTTCAACGATGAATGACAAAGGTATGCTGAATGACCTGGAAGGGGCAGAGCCCATCTGACCGCAGCACAAAGCCAGTTGCTGTGCAGATGACAGAACCTGCCACCTCAGAAGCTCCAGCTGCATTCTGGTCTCACAGCTGGGTGCCAGAGAGTCTGACCCGCCAGAGACCTACACACCAACAAAAGAAGGGCAGCCCACAGCCAGGATGCGCTGCCTGCTGACGGCTGCCTCCTCACGTCTCCTCTGTCCACACTTGAACATGTCCACAGGAAAAAGTTAAAGCCAGATAACAAGCAAATTCTTCCAGGTAAACATTCTAATTTGAAACACGAAGAAGGGTTATCATGGTATGAGATGGGGGGGGGGGGTGATGAGAATTTCAATTATGAATGAGAAGACTCAAAACACCAGAAAGAAGCACACGGTGCCTCTGATCTATAACTACCACCCCAGTAAGGAGCACCACGCTGCAGAGCTGGCTGAATCACACTTCACAAGGAATGCTAATAAAGGTACAGCATCCCGAACATGAACTGCTCCAAATTGTGAAACTGGCTGAGTACCAGAATGATGCCACAAGTGACACTTCACCTGCCTCAGGTGCTGGGTCACAGTCAAAATGCAGGTGCTCTAAAAAAAGCACATAAAGTTACCTTCAGACTCTGTGTATAAGTAAGGTTTATATGAAACAAATGCACTTCATGCTTAGATTTGGGTCCCATTTCAAGATACCATTAGGTATATGAAAGTATTCTAAACTCTGTCACAAAGTCTGAAATCTGAACCAGTTCTGGCATTTTAGATAAGTCTACTCAACCTACAAGCACGGTTACTAAATTTCTTAGCCCACAATCAATAACAAGAAGGGAGACTAATAAAGACATACTCAAAATGAAAAGGCTATTGCTAGTCTAATGGGAGAGGGAACAAGAGACGAGCCAGAACGTTCAGCGGAAGGCTGCAGACTTGGAGTCAAGCCAGATCAGGTCCCTCAGGTACTTACTCCCTATATGAACCCTGCCAAGTTATGGAGCCTCTTTTCTCCTCAGAGAGAGAGAGAGCAGTACCTAGGGTAGTGGGCTTGGCTTGATGACCATAAGAGTCCACGTTAAAGTCTCCTGGACGCGGAGTCTCTAATCCAAGCCAACACTTGCCTGCAACCCATGAGATACACTGAGGCAGAACCACCAAGCTGAACTGCTCCCAGGGTTCCAGTCTCAGAAATTTCAAGAGAGAATGAATATTTACTCCACTAAGCCACTATGTTTTGAAGTACTTTGTTACACTGCAATATAAAATAATATATTACACTTAGGGAACAATGTTTCTATTAGTTGAGCTGCTAAAATTTTTTTCTAAACATAGTCTTTGAGTCTCTTTGCAATTAAATATTAGATTACATAAGGGAATTCTGAAATTCACCTGAAAAAGATGCTCATCACCTTATAACAGCATGTTTACAAAGCAGGATATCAGGGGCTGGGGTTGTGGCTCAGAGGTAGAGTGCACTCCTAGCATGCACGAGGCTCTGGGTTTGATCCTCAGTACCACATAAATGTAAAATAAATATATTGTGTCCACCTAAAACTTACGAATAAATATTTTTTAAAAAAGCAGGATATGAGACTCAGTATTGAATTTAATTATATTTTATAGTACTGGGGATTGAACCCAGTTCTACCATTGATCTACATCCCAAACCCCTTTGCCTATTTGTTTTATTTTGAGACAGGGTCTCACTAAGTTGCCTAGGCTGGCCTAGAACATGCAAACCTCCTCAGCCTCCAAAGTAACTGGGTTATAGGTGTGCACCACTATACCTGGTAGTACTGAACTTCTTAAATTCTATAGTGCTTGTGTGCAACACATGACAGAGGTAAAAATCCAGAGTGCACCATAGTTCAGCACCTCAGGCCCAATGCCGCATCATATACACACTATCTGTATACTGTTTTTCGGCTTTACTATGTGTTTTGTTGTTGTTGTTGTTGTTGTTTTAGTTTTCGGTGGACACAACATCTTTATTTTATTTTTATGTGGTGCTGAGGATCGAACCCAGCGCCCTGTGCATGCCAGGCGAGTGAACTACCACTTGAGCTACATCCCCAGCCCCTTTACTATGTGTTTTAACATTAACAGAGGAGTCGGTCCTACCTGAATGAGGCATTTGCTGACGTCACTAGCACACAGTGCTTTGTTGCAGCTCAGTGACCCAGGGAGCCACATCAGGAGTGTCAGGAAGGCTAGCATAAGCACAGCAGAATGGTGTGACTTCATGATGCTTCAGTGAGATGAAGGCGGATCAGTATTCCCAGGAAGCTACACAGACAGACAAGCAGTTGATTCAAAGGTGAATGGCAGGGTAAAAGACAAGTACTGAAACGGAAATCAAAATGAACCAAAATTGGTTGTTTGTGTCAAAATACTTTGAATGATCATTTCAAAATCATCCCAATGAAAGATTAAACATTCAAAAATTAAACTATATATTTTTAAATATATCTTTATTTTATTTTTAAATTTTTTATGTGGTACTAAGGATCAAACCCAGTGTATCACGCATGAAAGGCAAGTGCTCAACCACTGTGCTACAACCCCAGCCCTAAACTATATCTTAATAATGTCTTGGTAGCCATTTTCAAAGACCTATCATACAGAACCTACCAGAAATGGTGACCTCAAAAGTTAAGTGACCATGTCTAAATTCTTCGTAACCAGAAAGTTCAACACACAATCAATGAGTTTCAGTACTATGCTGCTACAATTCAACTTTGATTTCAGGTCCATTATTCAACTTCAAACCCACATAAAAATTACTAATGTTGTAATATAATTTTAAAAACACTGAACAAGGTTTTTTTTTTTTTTTTGGTGGTGGTGGTGGGTGAACCCAAAGCCTCTTAATACAGGGCAAGCACGCTACGTCTGAGCTACATCCCCAGCCCCAATTTTAAAATGTTTAGAATCAAAACAAACTTGTAGATGGAAATTATTCTAATGATTATTTATGACCATATTGCTTTATCTCTCTTATTTTTGTGTGTGTGTTTGCTTGACTTTTTTTTTATTAGAGCTTTATAGTTATACATAATTAAAGGGTTTCACTTTATCTCTTAAGAGAATAAAGAAGCTCAATGAAAGGAGTCCAGTCCTCAGTCATTCCTTAAATAACTGAACCAATAACAAAGGGGGCAGTAAATTATTAATTGCATTAAGAATGCTGAGTAATCCCAGCAGCTTGGGAGACTGAGACAGGAGGACTGCATGTCCAAAACCAGCCTCAGCAATTCAGCAAGACCCTGTCTCAAAATGAAATATAAAAAGGACTGGGGAGGGGCTAGAGTTGTGGCTCAGTGGTAGAAAGCTTGCCTTGCACATGTGAGACACTGGGTCCAATCCTCGGCACCACATATAAATAAATAAAGGTATTGTGTCCATCTACAAATAAAAAAAAAGGAGGGGGGTGCTGGAGATGTGGCTCAGTGGTTAAGCACCCCAGGGTTCAATCCCATACCAAAATAATAATAATAATAAATAAAATGAAAAATTTATTTTGTGGGCTGGGGTTGTGGCTCAGAGGTAGAGAGCACTGGCCTAGCGTGTGCAAGGCCCTGGGTTCGATCCTCAGAACCACATAAAAAATAAATAAAAATACTGGGGAAACACATCTTAATGTCATTCCTATTCTATTTTATCTATAAAATGGAGATTTAATAAATAAATAAATAGATAGATATTATGTTCAAAAAATTTATTTTGTTAGAACCATGGATTCTTAACTTATTAAGCAGACACTACAGGGGCCTGGGGCTGTAGCTCAGTGGCAGAGAGCTTGCCTTGGATGTGGGAGGCACTGGTTCGATCCTCAGCATCACATAAAAAATACACAAATAAAATATAGGCATGCTGTCCATCTACAACTACAAAAAAAAAAAAAACCTAAAAGAAGACACTACAGTACAAAAAGAAAGGATAAAAAAGACACGCACAAACAGCTTAAGGAAGAGAAAATGTACTTCTTGAGGTTAAAAAATCTCCAAGGGACTGGGACTCAGTGGAAGAGCCCTGGGTTCGATCCTCAGCATCGCATAAGAATAAATAAAATAAAAGATCCGTGGACAATTTAAAAAAAAAATCTCCAAACTATAACAAATCAAGTAACTACTGAGTCAGGAGAGGTAGCCGGTGGGTGGGGAGCACACTCCTGGGCATCAGGGACACTCGCGGGGACGCTCCGTGACCGGGGGTCAGGGCCGCGCAGGGCGGGTCGCGCTGCGCAGGCCTGGCCCGGCCCCTCCCCGCACAGCGCAGCGCTGGCCCCACTTCCGGGCCCTCGGGGCGGCCCCGCG